GTCAGGAGCAGAACTACGACAGCAATAATGACCATTCAAAGAACCCTCCGGCAGGATCTGAGAAGCTCAACCTTTGTTTTATCAAAGAATGACTTTTATACTCAAAGGTTACACCACCATTCTGGGAAAACTACATCAACAATCTGTTACTTCCATTCAAGGAGTTTAGAAGCAAGTGTCTTCCTGGTTAAGGAAACAAGCTCAGCAGGAGCAAGTGGAGGCGCTGGGAGGAGAGGGGAAGAGATTGATATCTATGTACCCTGAACAATACAGCTTTCCTCTCTCCACCTTTCCAGCCTTCTAGAACGTCCATTTTACAATACTGAGTCACAAAAGTGAATGAAGAAAAAAGAAAGGGAACTTAGTGTTTATGTGCTCTAATGATCTATCTGTTTACTCTTTCAATAAATATTTCTTGAGCATTTATTTTATGCCTGGTACTGGGTTGGGTATTAGGAATACAATCGTGATCACAGTTGACATTGTATCCTCTCAAGAAGTTTCCAGTCAAGTAACGGAGAAAGAGTTTTCAGCTTTGTCTCTTTTTTTCCTAAACATTGGCACCTGAGCTAACATCTGTTGCCAATCTTCCTCTTTCTTTCTTCTCCCCATAGCCTCCCAGTACATAGTTGTATGTATCCTGGTTACAGGTCCTTCTGGTTGTGCTATGTGGGATGCCACCTCAGCATGGCCTGAAGAGCAGTGCCATGTCTGTGCCAAGGATCTGAACTGGCGAAACCCTGAGCCACTGAAGCGGAGTGCGCGAACTTAAGCACTCGGCTATGGGGCTGGCCCCACAGCTTCGTCTCTTAAATAAACACAGTCTTTTGAAACAAAGATAATAGCAACATAAATATGAAGTATAAAATCTCTCTGAAGAAATAGAAAATGTGTGAAAAATAAGAAGGAAAACTTTGTCACTCATGTATTTGGAGAGATAATATAGTATTTACACATAATATGGGCACTGTTAAAATAGAAGGGTAAAATACATTTTTAAAAACATTTTTTCCTAAAATTATATTCTTACTAGAATTTCAATAGAGAGAAATAATTAAGCAAATTTTAAAATTTTATTTCTTGTTTTAATCTGACTAGAAAGGTTACATTTTATCAGTCCAAAAGTATTTCCACATGAAGGTATTGACTAAGCTTGTCTGGCTCTAATGGAACACCCAGTGCCAAGAAGAAAAAAAAAAATCTGTTAAAATCACACACAGTTTTAAAAACATATGGTCACTATAAAAACCTGAAATAAAGGTAAAGTCAATTGGCAAACAACTACTAAATTGTTTTATGTGTGTGTGACAGTGCTTCACGGTGGAAGCTTTGCTAGTAATGGCACATATATGCACACACCCACAGACAATTCTAGGAAAAATATGTCAAGGCCAACCAAGGTCCTGTGACTATTGGGAGTTAAACACATAGTATATGGTTTTGTGATGACGATGCTTTAGGGCGACTTTAGTGTTTACCATTAGAATTGTCTTCTTTAGATCATGGCTCAACTTTACTCCATTTGCATCATTCCCTGTTGCCCCCCCCACCCCCACCCACCCAGCCACGAACCGCCAACCTGTCTGATGCCCCTATCACTATCCTGAGCCATATACCATTTACCATATACATTTACCAGTAAGTGAAAGCCACTAGAGCAGGAGGAAGTAGGGCTGGGGAAAGGGGATGGTTAGGTATAGACAGACAGGAAGAGATTTTTCCCCCTGGTATTAAAGGAGAGGCAAGCAAATGCCATCACGATGTCCTCAGAATCCCCTGCCACCTTAGAAGCGAGCAGAGGCTGGGACCTTTGTTTCCCAAAGAGGGGATGGTAAAACTGGGCAATGTGCTGTGGGACTGGCAGACCCCCCTCAGCTCCTTGCTTTATGGCACAGAGTGTGGACAAACATGTGGCCACATGGCAATGATGTCGCATGAGTCACCCAGCATTTCTGTTTTGTGCATGTCTCCAAGACAGCGCCTCTCTGCTCCTATCAACATAAAGGGCCAGCTCAATGCTGAATTATATCATTTGTCACTTTATGTATATCTTTTATATTAATTTTTTTAAAAATCTATTTGACAAAAAAATTAGTAACTTCAACCCTGACTTATACATTTTTTTTGTATTCTGCACAAGGCACACCACAGATCCAGGAAAAGTCAGGACTGCTTAGGAAACTGAACCCAGTAGAGCTGGATGTTCAGTAGGGTAAGAATCAAAGATATTTGTCAGATGGGCTGATATCAGCCTTGCCTGTGGATCACATCAGTCCTAGTGTGCCTTTTAAAACCATGGAAAAGTTCTGAATTATTTCCATAACAGAAAAATCCTCCATTTCAGAAATACATTAAAAGGCACACTTCTATTGGAAATGTAAATAGTCACTTGCTTTTCCATGATAGTCACCTTTATCATTGATATTCACTTCCTGATGAGAATTCTACAGACAAATGAAGGTCAAAGCTACCTTAGGCTCCTCTCATGAGGAAAACGATTACTTTTTAAAATGTTATCAATGCACACATATGTAGACATATAAATATTTATATGGAAACTTACCGCCTAGTCAGTGAATAGAAATGGGAATAGAAATGATGTGCTCTAGGAATCCACCGTGTGTGACTGTACTTTCAAATCAGGAGAGTACTGTGTTTCTTTTGCCATTTCTAGCCCAGTGTCTGATGGGGAAAGGTCAATATTTCATATAACACAAGGGAAAGGGACTTTAGTTTCTCCCCCAGTATACAGACAGGAAAAGAACAGAGGCCCCAGAAGGTTAAGTGACTTAAGATGTTGCTAGGTTAAACCTGTAACATAGTTTTCTTGACTCTCAATCCAGTTGTATTTCTGTGGTGCTGGCAGTATTGACTGGAGAATTAATCTATGGTATAGGAAAAGGCAAAAAGTTACCAGGTTAGCTAGTAAAAATAGAAGGCATTACAGTAGTAAATTTAGGAGAAACTATGAAACCAGTAAATAGGGGCAGAGCTATATATGGCCCAGGAAATACTATCTTGAGGGAAAGTCTGGGAAGGAGTTGGATGGAAGAGGATCACAAATAATGATGTCATCATGGGAAAGAAAATGATTTATGTATCAAATGGCTGACTTGAGCCTGCAAACTCCAGAGTAAGCTCCTAGGTCTTGTTGGTCTGTCGCTTCTCCCCTGACTTTTATCAAGGTCAGTGTTTGATAGAAGTCAAGAAGCAAGGTACCATATACTCTTAGTCTATTCTAGCATTGGCAATTGCAAGGAAACTCCAGACGCTCTGGACCCCAGCTTCAGATAAGGTGGGATGCTCATGCTCCTGGGGCTCCATAAAAGGGTTAGGAATTCTAGGAAGTCTGACCTGCCCTTCCATCACTTCAAAGGACTGGGTCTAGCCAAGAGGATGAGGGTCCAAAAACATGAACAACAACAATAAAGCACTTGTGTCTAGCACACACTGCAGCATTTTATGTCCTGTTATGGGGCCACACATTAAATCTTTAACAGAAAACCTGCAACACCGGTAGGAACTATTAATCTCTTTTAAGAAATGCGCAAACTGAGGCTCACAGGATTGTCTATTATTTGTGGAAAGTCAAACCATAGGGGCAAGATTGGAGAATCCAAATTTCTGAACTTAATCCACTTCTTTTCCATTTTACTAAGCAGATTCACCATAAAATGGAGTGAAAAATCACAATCCATAATTAATGTAGAAATTTTTCAAAAGGTATCACCTCAAATTTCAGGGAAATTACGTGTTTAAATTTCATATAGTTCCTTCTAAATAGATTTCCCAATGGAAATAGAAACTTTTGACATGAGGCAGCCTGGACTCAATGTCTGGCTTATTCTAATGGCTATTTCCAGTGATTATAAATAAAATAAATCACTTTTCAAATTTAATTTTCAAATTTTAAAATTAATGGAATGGGATGCCTCTGATAATTTGTGCTATTAACATTCTAAAATTGAACAGAGGTGGGAGGAGGCTCCAAAACAGGCTATACAAACTCTTTTATGGCTACTTGACACCCTCGCAGGATAATCACAGTAGTAGCAGTTAAGATATTATTGCTTCATGCTCCTTGAAGACACCTGTTCTAGGTAAGAAGCCAAGCTATCAGTAGAAATGGCAGTAACTGTTGTGGCAATATACCTGTGGTCTCCAGGGCACACGTGTAGGGGCCAGTCCCTGCCAAGCCTTGTTTAGGTCGAGCATCATCTTTCCTTTGGTAGGTCTCCTCCTTTTCAAGCGAATGGATGAATAAAGCTAATGAGGATTAACTGCACTTCTGAAAGGTGTCAGCGAAGGTTAGAAGGTTCCATTTGTATGAGAGTTATACTCTGCACTCTGAGATTCTCCTATAAACCTATAGGACCTAGAGCCTTTTAGCTACATACTGCATTTAATTAACCCAATGGCAAAAACCAGAAGTTACTGTCTTGAGAGATGAGCTCAGCATGAAATATGGTTTGTATACTTATTGCAGGCTTATAATAAAAAAGACTAATAATGAACAAAGAGATTAAAACAGACAACTTTCTTAGTTACCATTAAGTTAATAGGTTCAAATGTAGAAGACTATATTAAAAGCCTTTAAAGAATGTTTCAGATGGTCTTCTGAGACACACCAGACAACATTCCTTACCTGAAGACTACACATGAAGAAAACATTCCATTAATTTTATGAATGTGTATATGTTTGTATGTCCATACATCCACACATATATACATATGTATATGTACATACACATATATAGATATATATGTATTTTATAAATGAATATATCCCAGTGGACAGTCATCATTAATATTATAAATGCATTTTTTCCTGAGGTAAACAGATACTGTATATAATCTCTGGATTTATCTATGCTCATGAATTTGTTCCACTCGAAAGAGAGGTACTATTTTGTGCTAAACCATCAAAAGCGGTGTCTATCCAACATTATGAATAAGTCTTCCATCTGATGTTTGAAATGGGTGAAGTTAAAATTTCTTACCATCCAAGCTGTGACAAAGTCCCCCATCCAGGTCCCTACCGCAGCTAATTTCATGAAACTTTCATTTCGGATGCCCATATAGTCTGTAATGATATATGCTCTGTGGAAACAAAGACACAAGACATTGCCCAGACTCAGAGAGCCATATAGTCAAAGCTTTCTGATTCAGCAACCCGCAAAGGGACTTCTCCCCCTTTCAACAAGCTTTCTTGCTTTTGTCTCATCTCATATGCTTACAAATCTGAAAGGCTAGGAAGAGCTCTGAGGGTGTCTGGGTCAGTTCCAATGAGATTTGAAGACTGATTGTGGCTATACCAATTACGATGTGCATTTCATTTTTGAGCTGTAAGACTGACAACAGCTTTTGGAAAATCAAACAGAAATACTCAGCAAAGGCATCATTTCATGCTCACTCAAGTATGAGGAGAGCAAAAACAATTCCTGAATTAGAGTAACTTGAAAGGGAAGAGAAGAGCTCACTTTCCCTTAGTTCTGTCAAGTCAGAACTATTGAAAGGGACTAGCCTTAGATATAATATCATACTTGAATAATGTTCAGAATAATGTTGATTTGAGAAAATTTCCACGAGATGAAGCAATGGAACATTTGATTCAAACATATGTGGTTTAAATTATTATTTAAACACAATAACCAGAAGATTTAATTTCACTAAACACAAGTAACAAGGCCACGCTTATTGTTTAAGAATTTTCATTTCCATTTTCTCATCTGATATTCAAAAAAATCCTAAGCATTATTTTCCCATTTCCCAACTTCTCTGAGAAAGCTGGGACACAAGGAGATCACTTAACTTGACCAATCAATGCCACATAAGTAATGAATGGTAGTTAGAAATCAAATTTCTCTTTCTCTCTCTCGTCTTTTTAATTCTGTTTTTTCACTGAGATCTTTCTTTTTACTTTAGATTTTGTTCCTTTTCTTAAACATGATAATACTTGTACAGTTTATAGTATTAATTAAACTTGATTCTTCTTAGATTAACTTTAAAATAACATATAGTAGAGAACAGTATGTTTGTTATTTATCTACTTAAACTATGAAGAAGCACTTTTTGAAGTCACGAGAAGTAAAACATCTCCAATTCAGTTTTTTTTTTTCTGGAGTTATTCCAGACAGTTTTCTTATCCATAAAATAAACAGATATTTAGCTTTATTTAAAAACAAAAGCAAAGTTATAAACTCTTAAAACAACTCTTGTTCCACACACTTCATTTACCTACCTTTGAGAGTGTCTATGTAAATATCTTAAGGTCATACCTCAAAATTCTGGGTCTCTAATTCCACAGGTTTCCATAACAGCCCCAAAATTTGTAGCTACCATAAATTGCATGCTTACAATGCACCAGAGATTGTTATTAGCCCTTTAAATACAGTGTCTCCATCAACTTTCATATCAGTACAACAAAATGTATTATTATTTCTGTTTTCCGGAGGTTGAACTGAGGCTTTAGAGAATTTTTGCAACATTCTCAAGGTCAATCATCTAGTAAATGAACAAGATTTGAAGCTAAATTTGATTGACTCCAGAATCTAGGCACATAACCACCATACCATACCTTCTTCGTACAAGTGTGAGTGGAGATATAAAAAACACAAGGAATATCCACTCTGTTCCCCAGTGTTTTAGTAGGCAATGAAGATCAAGACTTATTTCCTCTGAGGGTAATTCATAACAAGAAGTCAAGAGTAGCACCCAGAAGCTGCAGCTCCCCAGAACTACCACCAAATCTTGGACCCTCATTGAGTTGACCAATCTAAGCAGACTCTACTGGAAGCCCCCAAGGTAACTCGGACAGCTTGGCATGTCTCCACTATTGTTCAACAGTTCTTGGGCAGTGAACTCAGTGTACTATAGAGTATTAGCTCTGGTAGTTGTCCAGCTCTTTCAATGACACCTATTTTGAAGAATGTGCTCAATGCCACATCCCTACCTGTCCACTTTGCCAATTAGTTCTAGAATACATTGGGTTGGGGGGGGGTGGGAATTTCAAGGTACATTTCTTGTGGTTGTATAGAGGTATGCAAGAGAAGGCATCAGTTTTTTATTTCAGCGCCTAAACATAGGGATCAGATGGATAAGCTTGCAATAGATCAATGATCCAGCCAAGAATAACTAAAACAAATCTAAATAAAATATAAAAATTACCCCCAAGATCTGTTTAAAGGTATCTGAGAGCTGATGAAGCAATGAGGACTAGAAAAACCAAGATGCCAGATTGGAGAGAACTGTGGAAAGGTTAGCTATATTTTTCTCAAGGGACATTTGCTGATTCGACATGCAAGGCAAGAGGGTAACAATCTGGGCTTTGCCTGGGCAGATGGCTGTCTCAGTGGGTTGGAGAGACAACATTAGAAACTTAAGGAGCCAAGACCCTTGTGAGAAAGGAGGTCTCCAGAAGAGAGCATGATACACAGCTGGTTTTCCTTTCAAGACATTTGCCACATTACAAACTTGTTCAGGGAAGAGGCTAAGAGGCTAAGCAGAAAGTCTCTGAAAAGCATAACAGAGGTTGGCAACTTTATCATACTGAGGAGACTATTATAGTTCATGACCTGCCAGAGGGAATGGCCCAAGAGAATACACTGAGCTATGGAGGGCTGGACAAAACCAGAGATGGATGAGTCCTTGATGAGACTGTAAATCAGTCTTTACCCAGTCCATTCTAAGACTGGATGAAGGTGATCAGCTCCTACTTTTTCCACCTAACAGAGGAAAGAGTGAACCTTCTCCAGAAGAATAAAATATTATCTAAATACTCTACACATTTTTATACATAACATTCATCACTCATTCAAAAATTACTAGGATGTCAAGAAACAGGACCATATCACTGAAAATGAAGAGAGAATACAATATTTAAAACTAGATAATAGGTTCCAGAGGACAGGGAGATATTTTGGCTATTCTTTTCACTGTCAATTCCCCAGCACCCAGAGCACAGCCTGTATAGAGTAAGTGATGAACAAACATTTGCTTGATGTATGAATGAATGAAGTAACCCAAATTATTTTTATTTATTTCTGTATGGCATGGGTAGACCTATGTATGTTAAACCCAAGAAACAGGAATAAAATGAGATTGAATCATGAAGAACTTTTCCACAGAGGAAGACATTAAATATGTTTTTAAATCGTTTTCTGTGTTCACTTTATTACTCCAACTACATTAGTATCTCTTTGGCTGCAAGATAGCTGTCCTGCACACATCTAGAATGATATATCTGCACAAAATAAAGAAATGTCCCTCCTCTGTGGCTATAGGCACATGGTAAGTACTGGATGCTATGATAACAATGCACATGAGATAGCAAAGATAATTTACAAAATAATTAATATATTTAAAAGTGAAGAGTGATATGTAAAAGTTAGTAGTTGTTGTTGCTTTGGACAAATATAAAGAAGAATGACAAATAGGCAGATCTGTTATAAAACTTTTCAACTACTAGCTCATTGATTTGCATGTCCATTAACATTTAACAATATTTCCTGCTCCGGTTGCGAAGGAAGGAATGTGCATACATTTTTATCAGCAATTTTAGCCAGCTGCAATCTCACATTGGACTCTAAAAAAGTAAAGCTGTGAAGCTTTATACTGAACAGTTTTGGGGAGTGAGTGATTCAGAATTAAATTTTATTTGCTAGGAGGCACTATTAAAGTTTTATTTTTGTTTAGAGTTTTAGCTAATTATTTTAACTATTCATACATAATTTGTTTGTTTTGTTTTGCGCTTTAGCTGGTTATTTCCACTATGCATAGATCTAGAAAGTCCTGCAGTTCTACCAGCCTTCGAGGTAAATATTGATCATTGATATTTTCTTCAAAGACTTTAAATGAATTTCTTTTCAGGCCATAACTTCGGTTTTTATTTTTTCTGGAGATTTCAAGCTTTGGTGTCAAATCCATAACAAATGTGTGGAAACTTCAATAAACAGGATTTTGGAAAGTTTCATAATTATCATAACAGCCTGAAAACATAAGCTACCAAGACTATCATACCTAGTGAAACCTATGTGCTAAATGGCCCTAAACCAAACAGATTCTAACATGGGCTAAATAGTCAATAAAACTATAATAAATTGGTCTTACAGGTGAGAGTCTTCATGAGCAGCAACGAAAATTCCCGTTCATTTCAGTCTATTACTTATATATAAGTGGATGCAGTCAATGCCAGGTGATTTAGGAGTTGAGTCTCTGAAAGTTTAACAGGAGGCAGTAAACATAGATCATCGAACCAATATGGATCCATGCTTCACTGAAGATCCATCTGTGGCCAGCTGGATTCATAATGTCACAGCTGCCTCTCGAAGGCATGTCTGGGCAACATAAACAAGATTGGGGGTTTCATATACAAGTAAATCATGGATAAGGAGTTGACTTACATGAGTACAGACCTGCATTAAACACAGTGAAACTAAAGCAAAAACTCTTAAGTATTCTTACAACATCGAGGTGAAAATTTGTCACTGTGAAACACCAAAAATTAAACCTAGATTTATCATATTAACATTTTCTCAATCTTTTTATGTTTATAATGAAATGACTAACAGCCTTTAATCCAGTCACTTAGTCCACTGTTATCCAAATAACCACATTTTAGTATTTTTGCTCAAAACTCCTAGTCCTTGACTATTAAAAGACTTTGATGGAGCTCAATACATTTCTTCCATGCAAGACCTAGGTATGAAGCTATGGAGCAAGGTCCTTTGGAATGTCAAAAATACTGCAGACAATCATTAGAAGTAGCCCAGAATGATTCAAATTGCATCTGGATTCAACAGTGCTCACAGATAAAATACCAACTCAAATTTCCCAACTTTAGCCATTCATCCCCTCTAATTCTTATAAGGGAGACATATATAAGAAGACTGTAGATGGACTTTTCATTGAACAAACCCACCCTGACGGTGAACACATCCACCACAAACAACTCTTCCTTTCATTCCTTGCCTGGCTTTAGCCTATTCACAGTGAAATGCATTTGTATTGGATGCAGAAACCTTAGTATAATATCAGTTTCTCTGTCTCCTTTACTCTCAACATTTGATTAATCACTAAGGTTATTCTGAAAAGCTCTCAAA